TGGTTGGACGTCGTCGGTGTGTAGAGTTGTCCAACATCCCAGATGGCAGGATATTTAAGGTTTAAAACTCTTTCCACCTTGGTTGGTTAAGTCTAATATCTAGCGGTGTAGATTCCGGCTCATTTTATGCTTCGATTAGTTTTCCCGTCAAGTAATGTGTACATATAATGTTTGATAAAAGTTAGTAACGAAGAGCGATCTGTTATCCAGTGGCACCGTAGATGCTGCTGCAATGTTGTAATGCGAAGCGCAGAGCTTTCGTCGTTAATCGAACCTTTCAAAATCCGCAGGAGATTTTGAGCATGAAACAGGGGTTGGGAAAAGGCTTTGAAGCCAATGTACACCAAACAATGTTCCAAGTTCATTACAGACCTTCTACAAAGCAATTTACAACCCTCAACTTCTGAAACTAGGGGTGAAATGAAAATTCGAGGAAAGTAGCCAGGAAAACAGCGACTAACCTGGTGAAACTTCAACCAATCCTTGTGCTCATCATGAGCTACTCGTCCAAACCAAATCCATTCGCGGCGCTGAAAGAAACTCATTCAAAAACTGCAACAAGTGCCAAAACCTTCATTGAAGAGTTAGAGAAGCAGTTCAGACTTCTAAGAAGGAAAATTACACACTCAATAATCGTAACTAACCAGCCAAAAGCAATGAGAAGATAATCTGGCAGGCTGTATTTGAAACTAATATCGGAGAAACTTGTTAGACCTCTCTCTGGGAAATCTACAACTGTTAGCTACTTTGTGTCCCAACGCAACAAGCATGGCTTGCCTTCAGTATTTCGAGGTAAGAAAAATCCCATCTGTTTTTGACTCTCAAGGCTCTGACTAAATCGAAGGATGTGAGGTGTCAATCTAACAATTTTATACGGCTGTAATGCGTGGCTGAATTAATTTCGCGTCATTCTACATATGAATTTGACATTATAACACCAGTGCGCGCCTGATACATGAATAAATATGAAGGAGTTACCATTTTAGCACCTTGATCCTGAGCTAAGGGGCGCCTCCATCCATCGCCAAATAGCCAGTCCAGTCGACCACCATTTAGTTTCGGCCACGGATTATCATAAGCGTAGGAGTCTGACCCAGGTCTAAAGAATTATGTAAAGTCTACCAAGAGCATGAAATTACACTATCTTAAGAAAAAATAAGGTTAGCTAAGCTATAGGGCGCTAAGCCAGTTTAAATCAGCATTCCCATGCTGGAAAGTATCAATAAAAAGCGCTATTGAACAAATGCCATATTTCTGAGAGTCACTCATTAACAGGGGAGGCATTGTAAGTTTCTTTACTGCTAATCCCTTGCCAACGTTTCTTTGTAGAAATGATTCAACCGAAGGAGGCAAATGGAAGGGCTATACCGAGGTGAGAGTATTTATTGACTTGTAAAATTGATACTTCAAGAGCAGTTAGATATTGGACCGGTGCAACTTCATTCAATAAAGGGTCTAGATCGAATTCTACTCGCACATTCTGAGGCAAAAACTGCCCGTTTTTCAGGTTTGCTCGCACATTCCGCGTCCTTCCGATGAATCAGCTTCATATAGATTTGTGGCTTAAGCTGAAAGCGCTCGAAGCGCTTCTCGATCAAGTTCCAGCCTTCTTAGCACTGCTTTGATGTAAGATGGACCTCCCAGGATTAGAACGGACACTTCGCAAGGAGAAAAAAAATGGCGCTGTCTAGAGTATGTTAGTGATGCGTTGCCTCATATGACGTTCTTAGCACATAATATTTACGAAGTCGCATACAACGGGATAAAATTTTCCCACACCACTTCTTCTATCCTTTTATTCGAAAACATTTAATGCTGGAGGAAAAGGGTTCTGGTCCGAGCCAGGAGAGAACTTCGGCATGGGTGAACCAGTTGTCCCTTGCAAAAAGAGGTCTAACATTTGATACAGGTGTCGTAAAAAGTTAAGAATTCAGACGATAATCAAAAGATTAGGAGAAAAAACATCACTGATATGCATGCAAGCTCAACACTGATATGCATATCATTACAAGGAAAATCTTCTAATAGCCTAGCTCGGCAAGAATTGACACCGAATCGCTATCAGAACTAATACCTTTATCACAAACGATGCTAGGAAGTTGTTTGCAGTACTGTTACTCGTGTCTGCGATAATAGGGCGCACGTGCCAACTCACCACGGTGAGTAACTCAGAAGGTGGACATTTGTTTTGGCATATTTGAGTCTACTCTTTGTCAATGCCTTCAGTCTCCTAATCCGAAGATATCATGTCACTCTGAGTTCCGCTTAAAATGTAAATAACTAAGTAAACGAAGATGTGTACTGAGGAGTAAACAAAAACGCCCGCATATAGCCATGAGAAAGTTTCGCACAACAAGTTAAACTGAAGTTTAGGACGTTACTTGAAGAATGCTACAAGGGAGGTATATTGGCGTTGGTGCCTCTTTACAGGTAGACAACCGCCTTCACATGCGCACCATGCTCAGCAGGCCATGTGGGACCGCGTGAGCCGTATATGAATCACGCTCATTAGACCTATACCCTTTACAAATGCATGGTATTTGCTTGGTTTTACATGCTTATTATGTAGCTCAACACTCACTATACTCGTGGAATACGTGGTCCACAGAAGTAATCAGTATGCTGATGTTCAGCAAAGGTTTTGTGTGGACCACAGATTCCATGTGGATCACTACTCCCGGAGGCAAGTTACTATTCAAAGAAAAATTTTTCCGTCTACTGAGGGGAAATTCTGTGGAAGACTAGCCTAAAAATGGAAAATTGGGGCAGTGAAGAGTAAACAGTGCCCTAGTTCTCACGGATATTCCGAAAAAGAGTAAAAAGTGCCAAGAACGTCGCTACTTAGTGACGTTTCTTTAATATTTCTTTTATGCAGACAAGCTCACATTCTTACAGCTCTGTTTTTTCTCAGCTTAAATTTTCCATTTGAATTTCAAAAAATGCTTCTTGTGGCTTTATCCGTTGATGGATGTCGCGTGCGAAAAAAAAAAACACGTGCGGTCAAAGGCGGCCGAAAAAGTCGAAACACGCATGGACAGCGAGCTTATCGAAAAGAAACTCCATCTTCAGCAATGTCACTGATCTATTCCCTCGTACCAGGCATGGTAACCCAGTTGCACCTGCATTGGGATATCAACCTCAGGCTGATTTTCTTTCACGGTTCAATGCCCTTTTGCTCGATTACCTTTGCAAACCACGAGCATGTTCGAGCAAGCGAGCATGTTCTAAGATTTATGTTCAAAGATTTCCAACGTAAGAAGAATCTCGATATCGACATTTTCTCCATATTCATGCACATCATTTGTGGGAATGCGAAGCTAATTTCGAAAGATAACAGTCAAAAATGGGCGCTTGTATCCTTGGAGACATTTGAAGGATTCTCTGTACAAAACCTGCTAATCAAATTCAGATCTGTCCAATGTTACAGCCCCTAAAAATGTAACAGTGAGCATAGAGACGCACCTGTACAAGTCTGGTTTCCGCTCAATGTTTTGATCTGCTGGCTCCGAATGTGATGACAAGTTCCGAACGGGTCGTAGAGCACGCCAATGGCCGTGGCGGCCACAAACCCTCAGCAGCATCCCTGAAACCTTCACTGGACAAAAGCATCGTTATCAGAGGCTGAACTACACAAATCAACACCAGAAAGAAATGCTTTTAATATTTGGAGATTGGGATCCAAAACATAACGCTTTCTAGAAAGAAGCGAATATCATAAATGCTCCCATAAGCAACATTACAGCATCATCTTAGCTAAACTAATGCACCGGAAACAAATCATGAAAGAGAAGGAATCAATCATAGTGCGATACGATGGTCCTGTGCGTCAGGTAAAGTGTTTTCGCGCAAACTGCGTACTCAACGCAGAAGCTTACGCCAAAGTTGCAAACTCAAGCCACTGTTTGAGCCGACAGTTTTCGCAGTGTTGGTTGGTCCGATTGTTAGGTTCTATAAGGGGAAGTTTTGTACTCACAAGAAAGGTAACTCGAAGGGAAGGTGCCTTCTGAAGCTTCCTTTTTTATAAACTAAGTTGGTGTGACTGCGTCCAGCGAGCAGACTATTTATCTATTCTATTCTAATTATTTCTGGTGCTTATTTAAATGGGAGTCATTCTGCTCGATCAACATTCAAATACTGTTTTTCCAGGTTGAGATGATTTTGAGCCACTCCTTGTCGAATGAGCAAATTGCGAGATATAGCCGTCAATTACTGATTCAGGATTTCGGGGTCAAAGGTACGTCAACAATAAGTGTTAGATGTAATGAGAACGATCAGGTGCACTAGCTATCGTCTGGCAGTTGCTCTAACCATTAGGCAGGCTTATCGCTCTGTAAGTTCTTTAAGTTCTTGTGAGGCTGCGTTCATAGCGAGGTGAGAGTGTACGAGAATAAGCGATTCGACGCTGTGGGTGAACGCAGGTTTTCCTGAAATCTCAATTCATTAATTCTTCTATTCTCGCAAGATCGGTACCTATACATTCCTTTGTCGGACATTCTAAAGCAGCTAGTCAGCAATTCTCCTATCTCTCGTCTGTATGAACTCACCCTCACCGTTCATTGGACTCTGTCTTCAGTGAAGCTCTAGCATCTTTTGGACTTGTCATCTGCTCCCTTGTGAAAAGATTCAGCGTATCGTGTACCACTAACATACAACTATTTCTCGGAAGGTGGTGAAACTCGGCAAAGTGGGACAGAAGTGAGTGGTTTGCGAGAACTGTAGTTCATCTGGAGATATGGGGAGCGTTCACAGCAAGGCGAACTGCTTAGTTCATCGAAGATTGAGACAGTGGGTAAGGGATTTTTGCTTAAGTGTAACGGCAACTGGCTAAAGGGTGTGAACCACTTTTTTTGTGCAAAAAGTTGTGAATTTGAAAGCCTGCATCAACCATCAGCCTTTTCCATTGGAATTAGCGGTACCGTGTTCCGCTTACTCTGGTAACTTATAGCGTTATCACTATATTCAACGTTTAGTAACTAGCACCAGTTTTGAACCTTACCTTAGTACTTTTTTTAAGGTCAGCAAAGAGTGTCGTTCGCAAAAGTTCTCGTGGCTGGAGCTGGTGGATTAGGATGTCCAGTAGCAATGTACGTGGCTGGTGCGGGTGTACATACCATAGGAATAGTTGACTACGATGAAGTGAGAATCTGGTCTTGCCCAAGTCATAGTTTAGACTGGGGGTATGGGTGTGGTGTTCCGTTGCGAAATCGGATGGTCAAGCCAGCAGGAAGGCCTTAGCGTCTCTGCAGGCTGCCCCAAGCATCGGACCGCTCCTCGCACACTCTCAGAAAACTCTTCCCTTGCGACCCATGTGGGTCTGTTCAAGACATCAAAACTTTGAGGTCGCTATTGACAATCTCCACCGACAAGTAGCTCATAAAGAAAGCATGATAGGGAAGTCGAAGGTGGAATCTCTCAAGGAGTTTCATAAACGGGTCAGTTTTGCTTGCACTTATAATTTTTTTTTCTTTCACATACGTTATGCAATGCTGTTCAGCAAGGGATAATTATCGTTTGTTGAATGTCAAGTCTGGAAATTCGTAGTTCCCAGGCGAAGAATACTGAAGCCAATGTTCTCTGCACGTGCTTTTAACCATGAATATTTCCGTAGGGAGTTTAACCCGGGCACGCTCACGCTACACGCGCCAGATGCACAGAAGTCTTCCCACCCTGTAACACGAGAACCCAGCCTTATGGCATCAGAATGGTGTCACGCTCGTGTTCAGGAGTACCTCCGGGAAAAGGACTCAGCCAGTCTACTACCGGGAAGACGTTTCGATATATACCATTTTCACTTTAAATTCACCCTTTTTCAAACCAAATTCACCCTTTTTCAAACCAAATTCACCCCTTTTCAAACCAAATTCACCCTCACTTTTCTTTTCAAATTAACCACACTTATTAGGGCGGGCAACTCATCAACCAGATCACGCCAGACATCACTGCGAGCCCCGCCCCGACGGCCACGCCCACTTGTCAGCGCGGACATAGATTCTCAAATCTTGTTTCATAACTTCTGCTTTTGCTGTTTCCCACAAACACTTTGACTGGAAACACCGGGCATTGACACATGGCCGACTCCGCCCATTCTCTAAAGGGTTTGGCAATCTAGGCTGACCACGCCCACTTGCTTTTCGCGGACTTTCGATATTTTCAAAATTTTTGCATTTTAGGGCTGCTGCGTGAAGCCCCGCCCACTGTGAGAGGCTCCGCCCACTTTGAAGAAGCCCCGCCCACTTTTCAAAAATGGTGCAAATCGGCAGTATAGAGACTTGGCTTGCATGCTAGGGTCTCGTTCGTCACTCGGAACAAGAAAATCCGGCAAAGTTTATTCCGAATGATCAGCAATACCCTAGCATGCAAGCCAAGGCTCTATACTGCCGATTTGCACCATTTTTGAAAAGTGGGCGGGCTTCTCAAAGTGGGCGGAGCCTCTCACAGTGGGCGGGGCTTCACGCAGCAGCCCTAAAATGCAAAAATTTTGAAAAATATCGAAAGTCCGCGAAAAGCAAGTGGGCGTGGTCAGCCTAGAAGTGCATGGTCAGCTTTTGCCAAACCCTTTAGAGAATGGGCGGAGTCGGCCATGTGTCAATGCCCGGTCGTTTCCAGTCAAAGTGTTTGTGGGAAACAGCAAAAGCAGAAGTTATGAAACAAGATTTGAGAATCTATGTCCGCGCTGACAAGTGGGCGTGGCCGTCGGGGCGGGGCTCGATGTCTGGCGTGATCTGGTTGATGAGTTGCCCGCCCTAATAAGTGTGGTTAATTTGATGTGAAAAGTGAGGGTGAATTTGGTTTGAAAAAGGGGTGAATTTGGTTTGAAAAAGGGTGAATTTAAAGTGAAAATGGTATAAATGAATTCGGTTCTCGAATTTTTGAGGCAGTAATGGGTAACAAGTGCTCCAAATAAGTAACAGTTTCCAACCAGTATTTCCCTTCCGGCCAACTATGGTCTACGGTATGAATAGTATAGCAACTTGCCAACTATTATCCTCGGCAGTAAGACCGTCTGTGAGTCACTCACCTCTTAGGCAGCGTTAGACTTCGCGATGCGTCGCTCGAACGTTGAATGGCGCCATTGCAGATCTGCATCGTTAGGCGGTGGAGCGCCCGCGGTAGTGATCGGCGCGATCTAATCGTTTCAGCGATCCGATCGCAGAATCTGAACGCGGTCTTTCTGAGGAGAGCCCTTGGTGTGCTGCCTGAGAGCTACTACGATTTCATCTAATGTTGAAACTGAAACTGTGGGATGATAAATTGGGAGCTTCTTTCTCCAGAGACAGTCCTGAATGGCATATCGATTGGATCGATTGAAATATAGTATCCTAGGAAAGATAAGCTTCATGGAAACACAGTGACCCTCTCAAACCCTTTGCACGATTGCTTAGTTGTGGGCTAGAGCTTCAGGTCTAGCTGTCGTGTGAAGTTTTAGGCTGAACAGTGCAGTAAACGTGGTAACTTACAATGTCTTACTCAACAGCAGCTGTGCATTGGATATTCTGAAGCCATATGACATCGTGGTGGATTGTTCGGATAATCCTGCGACAAGGTATTTGTTGCCCTTCTCAGGTCGATTCATTTCGAGACTTTCTCTTTTTGGATATCTTCTCAATGACGCGTGTGTTCTCCTCGGTAAACCTCTGGTGAGCGGAAGTGCGCTGCGATGGGAAGGCCAGCTCACGGTATACAACTGTATCGACGGCAGTGGGGAGGTCAGGATTTTCGAATGCCTTCAGCTGTACTGTACAACTATTTGCTAGTGTATGTGAATTCAGAGGAGTCCTTGCTATCGTTGCTTATTTCCTGTTCCTGCGAATCCAGCTCATGTAACGAACTGCAGCGAGGGTGGCGTGCTTGGACCCGTTGTAGGGGTCATTGGCAGCCTACAGGCACTAGAAGTTCTGAAAATTGCCGCCGGCTTGACACGTAAGTGTCTCTCGGTGTTCTTTTTGGGCTTAACGAGCTTTCATTGCGCCACTTTGCCATGGCTGTTACAAATTTGGGCGTCAGGCTTTTGCATAGCGCTTCCAGCGTACTTTCACTTTAATTATTTGCATTTTAGCCAATTTTGCTGCGAAATTGTATCTATTTGATGGAAGCTACGGAAAATCTCGAACGATTCAACTACGCCAGCGGAATAAGCAGTGTGATGTTTGTGGTGATAATCCCACGATCACAGAACTTATCGATTATGCGGCTTTTTGTGGTTCAGGAGCGTGTGATAAGGTTTGATGTATTTCTCTCTGGCGATTCTTCCAGGCCGCGCTCATACTTGCCACTACGGAGATACGCGATTAAGGTTAGGTATCGCTTGCAATGTTGGATGCTGGAGAAGTTGATCCACAAAAAGAGTTAGCTAAATATCCCCAAAGAAAAGAAAACCGCGCAATAAGCCAGCTAGCTGGCGCTCCTTCCAAAACAGATACAGATGGATGTGCTTGAACCCGCCCTAACAGATTATCGTATAATCAAACCGTGTTTGCGCGTTTTTTTTGAGCGGTCATTGAGTCTTTTTTCTCTCTT